CTTTTCCTTAAAATTGGTGGAGAAATAAGATATTTCCATGACAAAGTGAACCTCAAAAAATTCAGCAAAACAAACCCCAAAACCAGCAGTTGGACAAGTTTTCAAAATATTCCTAGAAAGGCACAATGAAACCAACAATGCCAAAAATATACTACAATGAATACACCAGGAAAGGTGGACAGTTAAGCAGAAATGAGAAAAAGAAAGGAAACCAGCCACAGGAAAATAAAGCAAAGTTAGGGATAAGTCAGTACCTTTCAGTAATACTGCTCTACATAAACAGCCTCAATTCCCTTTCAAACAACACGATTGGCAGAATGGATCAAGAACCAAACCCAATAATATCTAATATTTAAGAAACATATTTAAGTCAAAGAGAAATTCATAGATTAAAAATCAAAAGATAGAAAACAATATTCCATGCATCAGGAAACCAGAAAAAAAGCAGAAACAACTATCCTAATTTTAAACACAATAGACATCAAGTCAAAGCATTAGAAGAGACAAAGAAGGTCACTCTATATTGGGTAGGGAACAACTCAACAGTAAAAGATAACACTTATACATGCACCAAACACTGGCATGCCCAACTTCATAAGACAAACATTATTGGACATAAAAAGTCAGACAGAGGACCTCAATGCCCCAGTATCACAAATAAATCAACTCGACAAATTCTACAAAGAAATATCAGAGTGGAACCAAACCTTTGAACAAATGGACTTGATAAACATCTACAGTGTGTCACACCCAACAACCACAGAATACACATTGTTTCTGGCAGCACATGGTACTTTCTCCATAACAGATCACGGCTTGGGGCTGGGGATTTAGCTCAGCGGCATAAGCACCTGCCTTATAAGCAGGCGGTCATGAGTTCGATCCCTGGTACCGATAAAAAGAAAAAAAAAAAAAAAAGAAAAAAAACAGATCACAGCTTAATTGATAAAACAATGTTATGTAAATGCAAAGGAATTGAAATTATATCACACATATTATCAGATGATAGTGTAATGAAATCAATGGCAAAATAAAAACAATAAAAATTACATAAGCAAATCAAAGCTAAACAATATTCTTTTACAGAACAAAAGAAGAAATTAAGTAGTTCTATGGCTCAGCAGCACAGTGCCTGCCTGGCAACATGAGGTCATGAGTTTGATCCCCAGTACCAAAACATCAAAAGAGAGAAAAAGATATTAGATAGTTCCTGGAATCAAACAATAATATCAGTTCAACACACCAGAACTATGGGACTCTATGAAAGCAGCCCTAACAGGGAAATTTATAGTTGTGAATGCCCATATCAGAAAAAGAGTGAATCCAAATAAATATACAGTCATATATACATGCATAGATTTTATACTGTTCAAGGAATCTGTTTATGTTCTAGTCACCTGTTATATTAATTATTATGCCCTTTTTATTTTTCAGTTTTGGAGATTGGAACCAGAGGTGCTTTACCAATGAATTGCATCCTCAATCCTATTTTCTATTTTGAGACAAGGTCTTACTAAATTACCTAGGTTTGGTCCTGCCTCAGTCTCCTGAGTATCTAGTATTACAGATGTAGCTAGCTTAATTATTATATCTTTGTGGGATATTTTTTCAACTACCAGGTTATATCTCATTTCTCAAAATGTTCTTGACTATTAAAGTACATTTGCATCAAATCCCAGCACTCAGGAGGTTATGGCAGAAAGACCACAAATTCAAGTCTAGCCCAGGATACAAAATGAGTCCCAGGCAACCCTCACTATATAGCATGACCATGCCTAAAAATGTAATTAATCAATAATTAAAAGGGTACACTTTTTAAAATACATTAATCAATTGGGTTTCATTCAATGAATGTTTACTAAACACCTATTACTAGATGTTATAGGTTCTGGGTATAGAAAATTGAATAAGGCACACAAAAATCTGTGTTTCATGAAGCTTGCATTTTAGTGAAGAGGCACAGGCGAGAATTGAAAGCAACATAATCCCTATCAGGATATTACCTAATTATAGGACCAAGCATGCTTCATCATCCCCATATTAAGCAATACTGACACCAAGCAAAAATAACTAGGTATTTGCTCCAGAAAATATCTATTCCTGGAAAATAAGACCAAACAAAATAAACTACTCATTTAACCAAAAGTCAGCAGCTTTGTTAACTTGGCACAGTAAGGCATGCCTGCAATCCCAGCTTCAAGAGACTGACACAAGAGGATCCCAAGTTCAAGGCCAACCTAGGCAACCTAGCAAGGACCTGTCTAAGTTTTTAAAAGGACTAAAGATGTAACTCACTAGCAAGCATGAAGCCCTGAGCTCAATCTTAAGTACCCCTCCCCACCAAAAAAGCTTTCTCTTTAAAACATGCTTTAAGGGCCAGGGATTTAGCTCAGTGGCATAAACACCTGCCTGGCAAGCACAAGTTTGTGAGTTCGATCCCCAGTACCTAAATAAATAAATTAATTAATTAAATAAAATATGCTTTGAGATCTCCTACCTTACTATGCCCAGAAATCCAAACATCCCAAGTGTCCTGGTAACAAATTCCACCTTAAAAAGCACCTTCTTCTCAGGTTAGATATCTGGCTCAGTGATAGAGCATTTGACTAGCATGATGAGTGTCTGTTCAATCCCAGTGTGGCAAAAAATAAAGTAAAATTTAAAAACCACGTCATCAAAGTCCTTTCTCTAACTTCTTCCTTGTTGTCAGGAATTACTGAGGTGGGTTTATGCAATGATGTTGATAACTAGATAAGAAGAAAGCTAGATGCTCAGAGATGTTGGTGTGAGTTCATGAGACTTTGAAATGTTTTATACATAAATCCTGAAGTCTATTTAAGAGTTCATATAATATTACTGATAAAGAGATAATTCTTTGTACATATTATAGTGATATAATTTTACTTTAAAAGCAACCTTATGGTCAGTGTGGTGGCTCACACCTGTAATCCCAGCACTCGGCAGGCTGAGGCAGGAGGATCGTTGCAAGTTTGAGACCAGCCTGGGCTACAAAGGGAGCTCCAGGCCAGCCTGAACTGCATAGTGAGACCCTGTTTCAAAAAAAGAAAGAAACAAAGCCAAAAACAAACAACCCCCCCCCGAAAATCCTGCTTCATAAAGTTGGAAACAGAAGCCATGATTTTCAGTGCTTTTGTGGCAGTCTCAGGGTATTCTCCCTTGCCTTTAACCCAGAATGTATGGAGATTTGAAATTATCTGAAACATATCTTTAAAACCCCATCTTTTATGATCTCAAGCAGTTGTTCACCTTCTAGCACAGATTCACTTGGCTTACTCCCTATTGGGTCAGTGATCTATTCCTTCCAAGTTTGGGGGTCTTTTGTGGTTGCAAAGTAATGCTTAAATTCTTTTGAAAGCTGAGATAGTTGATCATGTACCAGTTGGGAGAAAAACTTTCCTGACTCAGCCTCTTTCAAAACTCTGCTAATAGTAGAAACATGTTAAAAATCCAAATGTTCGGGGCTGGGGATTTAGCTCAGCGGCATAACTGCCTGCCTTGCAAGCAGGCAGTCGTGAGTTCGATCCCAGGTACCGATAAAAATGAAAAAGACAAAAAAAAAAAATTCAAATGTTCACTTATTTTCCCCATAATTTCAGCATGGTTTTAAATGCATCCAATTCATCCATCACCTTGAACACAGTTGTCATTGTCTCCTGAAGCAACAAGCTGAGTTCCTGAGCAGACTGAATGTGTTACACGAGCAAGCAACTTTGTTACCCACTCTGTGACACTGAAATGTGCTGCCAGTGGTGAGTGCTTTGCTAAAAGAAATCTATGGAGTGACTCTTGAATAAAAACTCTGACCAGTGATCAGTGATCCACCTTTAGAAGACATCTCACCTTTATCGATAAGAGAAGACTTAATGTGCCCTGCTTCATCTCCACATAGAGCTGCATGAACAAAGTGAGTCAAGAGCATGTACTTCAATGGAGCTGATAAACTAAATCAAATCCTAAAAAACATGGTTAAATTCAGATGATGTTTTTCACCTACCTATCATTTCTGCATGGTTGACACTGTGTATAGACTTATTCTCAGAAGTGATCTCTGTGACTCAAGTAATGAAACTAGAAAGCTCTCGAGTCATGACAACCATTGTAACTATGCATACACTTAGTTACACAAAATGACCAATTCAGTTTTTCCGACATGTGATCATTTGAAGACACAAATAGTTTTGTGGCTATGGTGTTGACTAGCAACAAAAGTTCACATAATATTTTCTCATGCACATCTCTCGAAAAGTAGACGGAACAAAACAAGCATTGTTGCCTTCTTGTCAACATCAATAAACTAGTCAACCTGGACTGTGTACTATGATAACTCACTAATCCTAACAATAGTGCCTCAATATCCTGAGCTATTTCATCAGTTTATCTAATTATGGTGCTCACCAAAAGAGGAACACATGTGCCTTTGTTTTGTAATTTTTCTTTTAAAGAGAATAAAACCAAGAAAAATAAAACAGAATAAAGCCAATCAAAACAAGACAGAGTAAGTAACTTAGGATTTCAAAACAAGATTATAGGAAATCAACAATGGTTACCATAATGCCTCTTGTTGTCTTCAAAATAGCTGCCCATACCATCAGACATGGTAAAATCAAGCAAAATATAACAGAATAGAACCAATAAAAACAAAGCAGTGGATGCAATAGAGGACTTCAAAACAAAGTAATAGTAAATTCCAAATGGCTATCATAACATGTTTGGTTGTCTTTGAAATAGCTGCCCATGCCATCAGATATAATAAAATCAAGCAAAATAAAACAGAATAAATCCAACTAACCAATGAGAATGATACAGGATTTCAAAACAAGATGATAGAAATTAACAATGGCCACCACCTTCAGAAGGCGATTCCCCTCTATATACTATACTGCGTATTGTTATCCTCTGAATAGATGATCAGACTACTAGCCTTAGGCCTGCAAAGCCAGTGAAACACTAACCACTACAAGCATTAAGTTGTATTTTACCTTAATAAGTATCAGCCTTCATCACACGATGTTTCTCTGGATCAGCCGGTTGCTTGTAGAGGAAGGATCTTAGCTCTTCTGGGGCTGGTGTGTGGTTCTCCCCTCAGGGGCCTGCACATGGTATTAACTCACAGGGAGGGCTTGTCTTCTTGTTGGCTTCTTGTTCTCCCCCACAGTCTGCAAATGGCGCCAACACATGGGAAAAGGCTGGCATCTGGTTCTCCCCACAGTGTCTTGTGCATGACGCTGACTCACAGCCACCAGTACCTTTTTAATTGCAGCCTCCCCTAAGTTTATGGCAAGCAGCCTTAGCAGCAGGCAGGTTCAACTCTTCATGAATATTAATGGACTTCTTAGGTTTAGCAGTTCAGTTAGCCAGTATGATGCTTATAGTACAAACACATTAGATGAATTGATTGCCTTCAATACTTGTTTATGGTCTTTGTGTTCACTATTTTCTTTTTCTTTTCTTTTCTTTTCTTTTTTTTTTTTTTTTTGTACTGGGAATTGAACTCATGGCCTCATGCTTGCCAAGAAGACATTGTGCCACTGAGCTATATCCCTAGCCTGTGTTTACTTTTTTCTTTTGGAAAACTACAAAACATTGTCTTGTAATGGAGAGTAGTTAGTCTCCACATGATGAATCAGTTTTGAAGGTTTCATGGCTTTGTTGGATAGCTATTCAGTACATATTATACAAAACAGGCATAGAGAAAATGAATCATTTGCTGCAGTGAACTTGAAGTTTAAGTAGAATGCTTGCTATTTTCTTTTAAATGCAACTTTCCTTTTGTTGGCCATCTTAGATTCTTCTGCTGTCTCATCATTGGCCTTTTCCCATTTTCAAAGAAACTCTCCAGTGACAATTGTTTGCTACTCATTTTGGCTAGGGTTAGCTTGTGGGTTTACTAAAACTGTGACTGAGACAGGTGTACAATGCAGTAAAGTGGCATAGATAGAAGTGGTAAATAAAATAATGGGCAGGACTAAATAAATATTGGATTCTCACTTAATGCCTGCCACCAGATGCAGTTGTTCAACTGAAGGATTTCAACTTATTTGCCATTATAAAGTGTGCCATTTGCCACTTATAATAGGGTTTTGATGAATTTTTAAGCAATTGACTTATTATGGTCTCCATGTAGTCAAACCTCTATATAACAGTATTTGAAGCCATTCCTCATAGCTAGCATCATCACCTCAGCTCCACTTTAGATCATTAGTCACTAAATTCACATGAAGATTATGCAGCTTCCATCCCTTGCATAAGCAGTTCACAACAGAGTTCCCATTTCTGTGAGTATGTAATGTTGCCACTGAATAGACAGGAGGTAATCTCAGGTAGTAGTGAGGGTGATAGAAGGTGACTGTAAATACAGATAAAACCTTGCTCACTTGCCTGCTAGTTGTCTCCTGCTGTGCAGCCTGGCTCCTAATAGGCCACAGACTGGCTCCAGCTTGTGCTTCAGGGGTTGAGAGCCCTTGCCCTAGACCTTTGGCATACTTCTGAATCATTTTGACAAAAAAAATTCTTAAAAAAGGAGCTGAAGGGACTGACGATGCACACATGAGGTCTTTAACATACACACACATTCAATAGTTTTATGAAGTTAAGTTACAAAAATATTATTTATTGTTGTGCATCCTGTTTGTAACATAAAACTTTCTTGCCTTTGAATAAAATTACATATTGTGTGTATCTCATCTTTGACAATTCTTCTTATGTCTGTCCTAAATTCAGTCCCCAGACTCTAAATAATACAGACTTCAAAGATTCCTTATCATTCTGAATAACCAGACTCTAAAGATTCCTTATAATTCAAAACTTTCTTTGAAATTATTAGCACAGCCACAAGTTCATGTAAAGTCTTTTTCTCTCAGTTTATAAAAGAAATGGAAATCATTAGGCCTGTTTGACCTTTTACATTTTAATTAATTTAAAACTGTTGAGCACCCTATTGAATTTACCATTAAAAAGTAACATTTTTTATGACTGTGAACTTCCTATATACCATTTATTAATTTAACATTATTACTTTGTTGCAAATTTATGTTTGTTTGTTTTTGTTTTTGCCCTGATTTGTGCCCCTTAAATTTTTCTTTCCACCATCAGCAGGTGAAATATTATGGCTCATCAGCAGAGGGCACTAGAGTGACATTGCATGGCGCAGACTGGGAAAACGCTTGGGCTCCAGCCCTCTGCTTTAATTCTAGGCAAAATCTCACAGTGGAGCTCCAGCTGTGCCTTTAGATTATGCTCCTTCTCACTGAAAAAAATGTATAAGTATGAACACTTTTCTTTGTGTACAATGATTAGTACAGTCACTATCTTTAAGAGTATTTTACTTCTAAACTCAATTTCAATCAGGGACCATTGTAATACATCTTGCCCCCTTTCCATGTACTGGACATTGAATCCGAGGCCTTCACACTGAATTATATCCCCAACGCTTTCTTCTCTTTTATTTTGGGATAAGGTTTGGCTAAGTTCAACTTGACTCAAACTTGTGATCCTCCTGCCATGATCTCCTAGAGTGCTAGGATTATAAGCATGCACCACCATAACAGGCTGTAATATACTTTCTGGTGCAAATCCCAAAGCCATGGAGTCTTCTTTCAATTCATATCTATTTACAGAATAATCACTGACCATATCCTTGTGTATTAATTTTCTGTTACACCTTAAGAAAAAGTTTACTATCTTCTGTTTTGATCATATTCTGGAATTTTTCATCAGAACTAAGTCAGTTTAGAGAAAAATAGTTCTTGAGCCTGATGAAAAAGACTCATATCAGTTACCATAAACACTAACACTATAGCAAAACTCTAGGGTGTTAGTGCTTAGAATAATTTTTTCTCAAGTAAAGAGACTTAGTCATCCTTAAATTACTGGAAAACTCCACTTACAAGAAACCACAAATCAGGAGTAGACAGTTTCCACCTATGATGTTTAAAGCAAGATGACTATGTGAAATGGACAACACTTATCTAAGACTCGTGAAACCAGATCTACATGATTGCAATAAACATTGGTCATCTCTGCCCTCCTCCCACCGTCTCACCTTTGAATTTTTAGATAAGGTCTCATTATATAGTTTAGACTGGCCTTGAACTTACTATGGGTTCAAATTCATGGTGATCCTCCTGCTTCCGCCTCTGGAGCACTGAGATTATAGGTCTGTGCCACCTCACCACAGCTCACGGGCACATTTGTAATTGTTGTACATCTCCCCACTCTTTCTAGTCCTACCCAGGCCCTCCTCCTCCTCTTCTTCTTCCTCTTCCTTCCCCTCTCCTTCTCCTTCTCTTCTTTCTCCTTTTCCTTCTCTTCAGTATAAAGGATGAAACCCAGGAATTCTTTAACCCTGAGGTACATCCCTAGTCATTTTTAAAATTAATTCGTTAATTTTTTTTTTTTTTTTGAGTCAGAGTCTCATTATGTTGTCCAAGTGGGACTCAAACTTTCGATCTTCCCTGTTCAGGCGCCCTGGCTGCTGGGATCATAAAAATACAGCACCACTCCTCTAGTTTGCTTTAAAATTTAGAATTAACCTTCACCTAAGGAGCCTATATTTAATAACATTTTTTGCATCCATAGATGCTCCTTAATAAAAGCCCAGTATTCATCCACAATTTCCTAGTGATTTGGATAAAACACAAAACCAAATAAACTATTAGGTTTATGTTCATCTTCCAATTTGGTACTTAAGAGTTTCCAAATTTTATATTAGTTTCTGTAATAAATTAGTAGTTCTAGGGTAATCAACTTCAATCACCAAACAACTTTTTTTGAGTTAATATAGCAGAGCAGACAGCTAGAAATATAAAACCCCTTATCGTGTTGCCCTCCAAAGAGATAATACCCAGGGACTTTGCATAAAGAATTTGGCTGGCCTTTGTTCTGAGTTCTCAGGAGGCAATCTTTAAAATTTTCTGAGTAATGAGGGTCTTCATTATTCATGATGAGCCCTTCTAACCAACCTGAGAGCTTTAATTCAGATGGGGTCTGCCATGCCAGGAAAACCAAATATATGAATTAGAGGGCCACAGCTTTGAGCCAGATTACATAAACTGGCCTCTCAGGAGGAGACACGGCTAGAGATTGAGTTCAACCGGAGGGCCATGATTTAGTCAATCATGCTTTTGTAATGACATCTCGGTAAAGACTCTACAAAAATAATTTTTCTTGGTATGGCAATTCTCTTATTATTTTTCACTTTGATGCTATTGTAGGTAACATATACCTAGGACAAGACATTTGCACTTGGATACCTATCAGACTTTATACTTCTCTTTGTTTAGCTGGTTCTAATTGTGTGCTTTGTTATAATAAAACTGTAGGAATAAGAATAGTACTTGGTGAAAATGTGTCTTTCTTGTGAATTATTACCAAACGTGAGGGTGGTTGTGGGAAGCCTTGAATTTATAACCCGCTATTCATTAATGATGGTCACCCTGGGTTCTGCCAGACTTGAGCTTGTATCTGAAGTACGGGTGGTTTTCTGTAAAACTATGTTCTTGGACTTTGCAGTTTGACAAGTTCATTGCAGAGAACTTTTGTAGCAATTAGTCTTTGCCATTTGTAGAAACAGAGCGTGGAAGGAATTTTAAAATAGATGGGGTACATTCAACAATTTAACTTTTTCAGATCTTACCAGAAAGTCACACTAGTGGATTTTACTCCAAGCTCCTTTGTTTTAGAGCTAGTTGGTAAAATCTTAGTCAAAATATCATTTGTTATATCAAATGACATTTACATAATGTCACAAATGGGGACATTAGCTCCAAAAACATCACTGATTGTCCCCATCCACCTGGCATTAAATCTGGGACTAACCCTGCTGCTGCTAGCCAATGTGTTATCTGAGTAAATGGATGCTTGTTTTCCCAGTAAGTTCTTGATATTACCTCTGATGCATTTTCACCCATGAATTTCCTTTCCCGGGGGTGTGGGAAACCTGATTCAGTGAGGAGGAGTACTGGGCCTTGCCTTGAACTTAAAAACTTTAAAGTGAAGGGAAATTTTGGATTACCTTCTTTTGTACATTCAATTATTTTATGTATCCTTTTTAAGGGTCTGAAAAGCAAAGGTAATGCTGTATGCTATGGTTCAGAAAATAGGAAAACTAGATTAATGGCCATAGAGAATGCCTCACTCAGAAATTTCATGAAACTGGACAGCAATTTTTTTCAAATAGAGATGAGCTATAAAATTGGCTCCTTGAAGGGAACTGCATGCTGCCTTCTCAGGACAACAAAGATTTTAGAGTGAGGCCCAGGATTCAGAAGGCCAGGAATGTGTAAGATGTCTTAGACCAGTTATACCTTTTCAAAAAAAAAATGTTTCCTTTCATTTCTCACTCTTTTTCTCGGCTTCATTTTCCTAACCCCTTTCAATTCTAGAGAAAAGTTTTCATGGCTTTTAGGAAAGGGATTGCATGGCCTACTTATTGCATAGGGTATGTGGCTATCAGGTTCTCTGAAAATATAAGAACACATGAAACCCATCCAACTCAGCATAATAGACCTAAAATTATGGGGATCAAAGCCATGATACTACAGCAAGTACTAGTATTTACTCTACACGTTATGGATATTGGTGGTAGACAATTGGCCAACATCACACTCCCACACTCACTCTTTATCCTATCAGAGGTGCTATGGTTTATATCTAGACATCCCCCCTCCCCCAGCCTCCTGTGCTCATAGACAGGGATCCTGGAAGACAACTGGATTATGGGGAGGATGTAGCTGACTTGCTGTCAGGCAGCTGAGGCTGGTTAGAGGAGAGTTACTGGGGCAGATCTGGAAGGGTACATCTCCCTCCCTATCCCTTTCCTTTTCTGCTTCCTGGCTGCCTTACCCTGAGTAGCTTTTCTTCTGCCACATTCCTATGCGATGGTTTTTCTTCTTTGGAGCCAGCAAACCATGGCCTAAGATGTAAACTAAAATAAACCTCTCCTCCTTTAAGTTGTGGATGTTGGTACTTTGTCCCAGTAATGAGGAAAGTGACTAAGACAAGAGGCATGAATAACATTGAGAATATACTGTTTTTCTCTAATTTCCTGTCTATACCAATAACCCTATTCTCCCACTAGTAAGTTAGAACAAAATTTGTTCTTTTTAGGATAATGAAAAGTTCAGAGATTGAGAATGGTGATATTGTACAACAGTCTATATTGAGTACCACTGAACTGTTCTCTTAAAAACAGATGAAATGATAAAATTAATAGTATATACATATTTTATAGCAATTTTTATGTGATTATTAATGTAGCTAACAGCATTTGTAAAGCACTGTGAAATAGAAAAACATTCTGTCAGAACTTTATGGTGCCACACTAACAATAAATTAGAATAGGAGACAAAGATAAACATTTGGCTTATCTACCTTCCTCTATTTTCCTTCTGTCCTAGCCAGTAGTAGGTAAGAAGCAGGAACGGGCAAACAGATAACTTAATTTGAGAGATTTGACCAAATTAAGCAGGACTGAAAAAATTAGACCAAATGAGAAGTTCAGATTTGTATATTGAGAATTAACTCTACGTCTTAATTTTCCTTTTGCTAAAATGTCAACAGAGAGAACACAGGACAGTTTCTCAGCCCTGCTGATACACATTTTAGACCATTTCCTCAGCCCTGCAGCTATTTGTACTATGGCAAATAGCTTAGTAAGTAGACCGTTGACCTTTGTAATGAGTATGGCGTATTTCTTTTTCCTATCATTTGTAGACATGAGATGTGAAATTATACTAACTACAGTGTGGTTTACACAAAAGAAAAAGGTACAACCGCATCAACAAAATAAAATTCTGTAATTCTGCATAGTACTCAAAAAACTGTTGTGGTATTCATCAGTGAAGATGTTGAATATGAAGAAGTGCTCTAAAACCTCTATCAGCATTTTGCTTACTCACACTGTTAAATTACAAATTCCATAATGACAAAGGTAATGAGTACATGCATGCAACATTGTGTAATTCTGGAATACAGAAGTCTATGCCATGGAAAACAAAAATAAAAAAGTCCAAATAGAGTCAGAGAAAATAAAATTAAAGCCAAGTGTTTTTAGTTTTGCATTTATATTTTTTAGTGTTTTTATCTATCTTTATGTTTTTAAATTATTATTTCTTTTACAAACATATCCATATAGCTTTTCCAATACATTTTATAAAATATTGATTAAATGCTGGGTACTTTTAAAAAACTTTACCATTTACAGCTTATTATAAATACTAGGACAATATTACAAAAATAGATATCCTTTACAATGCTTCCTGATTTAAGAAGATAAACAAAAGGCTCAGACGGAGAATGCATTCAGTTCTCTTCTATGAATTCTAAGAGCTATTTGTTATTCTGTGTTGGTATGTTTTACTTCCTCTTGTATAGATACTCATATACTTCGAGCTTCTATGGAGTTTAGAAATAATATCTTAGGTGCTCAATAAATATCCAGAGTTGAATATATATGGGTTAGTTAAAGCAAAAATGAAAGCCTACATCCCCCAGAGATGAATTACTAGCTAGACATAACGGTTCATAAACATGCTTAGGCAGGAAAGACCAAATTGAATATACTAGAGATCAAGAATTGCACACAAAGCAACCAGGCAAAGTGGCATACACATGTAATCCCAGCAATCTGAGAAATCAAGGCAAAAGTACTGCAAATTCAAGTGTAGGCTGGGTAATTTAGTAACTCTGTGAGGCTCTGTCTCAAAATAGAAAGGGCTGTGGAAATATCCACATGCAAAGTCCCTGAGTTCAAACCCTGGCACTGAAAAACAAAATTGCATACAGATTAGAAAATCAGGGGAGGAAGCCCAGCAGAAATACTAAAAACAAGGAGAGAGAAAGACAAACAGAAAGACACACAGACAGACAGACAACTGTAAGAATTAAAAGACAAGATTGCCTGACAACATATTATAGCCCACATTCAAAGAAGCAACTCACAAAAGAGTAGCTCCATTTTCCCCTCTAAGAGACAAGCACCAGAGGAGAACCACTACCTTGTAGAGTGAAATGAATGAGGACAGCTTTTAGCTTAAGAATCAAGCTACTGGCCAGCACAGAGACAGAAGACATGGGCTAAGAGTTAGTTCCAGCCTACCAGGCAGTAGGATTTAAACTCCCTTAGAGGTTCGGTTTCCATTTGTGTAGTTAACTTAGCACAGTGATTTTTCTACGTCAACTTGATTAGGCTAGGAAAATTTCCAAACTTCCCTGCTCTGGAGAATTCCAAGTTAAGATGGTTTAAAACATAAATTTGAGCAAGATTCAGATGGAAGAAGTACAGTAACAGTAATGACTCTGAAAGTCATTATGGTTAGATGTGGAAGAGGCAGACACACAAAGGGACCATTAGCTTCCCACTGCTGATCCTCTTCCTTTTCCAACTCATACCTGGCTCTTCCCATCTCTTGATCCTATTG